TTGATCACAGGAATAAATTACATTTTAATATATTCAAATAGAAAACGGTTATTTAAAACTGTAATAATATTTCGCAATACTACTGTATTTTTGACCAAATAAATGCAGCCTGAGTGAGCTTTGCTAGCCTAAATGTAAATATTTATCAGCAAATTTCAAATAGAATATGATTCCTGATAAAACCCCTTATCAGTGGAACACTATTGTGTCTGTGACGTTGACTGTTCCTATCCGCAGTTGTATGATGAAGCTGAAGCGGTGTTGAATAAACCATCGCAACCTGTCCCGCTGGACACTGAGGAGTCTTGATACCTCCGTCAGCTTCCTGAACACCTCACCGCCGTTATCCCATCACCTCACCTCCCATACGGCTCAGAGAGACACGCATCAGCGAACATGGAGGATGAGGAAGTCAGGCTGCGGCTGGAGGAGAGGAAGCAAGCCCCTGGACTTCAGACGGCGTTTCTGAAGGGGAGCAGTTTACCAAACAACGTCTCCAGACTGTGAAACAGGTGAACCGGAGCGCTTCACATGGTACATACGGACGTACGTGTTTACAAAGAACGATCTGAATGAAATGCTGTTTACACTTTAAGAGCGCCAGATGCACGGATGAGATAGACGGTTTACTGCACTGGTGTTTGTACATATCCACCCCGTCCCAATATTTCACAAGATCACGCAAACACTACAAAGAATTCAGCGCGGATGATTTGACTATGAATTCAGGACTTCCAGAAATGAAAGAACGGGCGAAACATTGATTACATTTGTACTATTTATTCGTTTCTTTTTCTTTTGTACGTGTGTGTGTTTGGATTTTTTTATGGCCTCCAGACAATCAGAATCCAGTGTTTTGGTGGAAAAAACGTCGTTTGCGATATCTGAACCCTTAGCGTCACACATCTTTCGTTTGAAATCTGTCATCCGCGTACCGTCTCAGGAAGGTACGTCTCGTAGGAAATCCTCCTCCAAAAGACGCAGGCGAAGCGCATGCGAGCACTGATACACACACATACTCGATCGCAGAGCTAGTTTGACTCCTAACAGTCTGGATGTTTTCAAGGTGAACCTCACGAAAGCTATCCAAGTCGTATTTCACCAGATTTCTCTTTACTGTAAAGCCCAATTCTGAGAAATATGCTTGATTATCATGGAAATTGTGTCATAATGCAAAAGATTTTCATGGAAAAATGAATTGCATCTTTTGTAATCTGATTTTAGAGTGAAATGTGACCCAGACCTGTGAGGTTCACCCAGTGATTTGGATTGGATGAACAGCGGTTAGTAAAACATCTGCAGACTCATTCTCCATATCATACTAGACTCGTCTGGTGCTGTGGTCTGTGATCTGTGATCTGATGCTGATCGGTGATACGGTGGCGGTTAGATTTGACTCTGCCTTACAGTAAATTAAAGCAGAAGTGAAACATAATCATGCATGGTATCGTTTTATTGACAAATGATTAATAAAAGTGATCATCAAGTACCTTTGAAAGAATTCAGGAGTTCAATACAATACATAATGCATTTTGTATAATGTTGATTACAACAGAAAATCATTTTGACTGTGTAAACAGTCTAGAGGATTAATTAAAATATTAAGCCCTTTTAGGACCATTAATGTTTTTTTGTGTTACAATTAAGCACATTTCTATTAAAAAATTCTGTGGGGGGGAAAAAAGTTAAAAATGTATACACCATGTTAGTATTTTTTTGTGCTGCCTTGATACTGATTTAATTAAAAAAAAATGTACTTTTATGTTACGGTGTGAAAATCACTTACAATGGGATTTAACTATTTTGGG